GTAAAATGAAATCCTTGACAACTTCAATCTTTTCTCTGTTTATCATGATGTTCCTTACTGGTCCAGTTGTGAGGATTTTTGTTGTCTTTATGTTGAGGTATAATCCATACTGAAGGCTTTGATCTTCATCAGTAAGTGCTTCGAGTCCTCTTCACTTTCAGCAAGCAAGGTTGTGTCATCTGCATGTCGCAGGTTGTTAATGAGCCTTCCTCCAATCCTGTTGCCGCATTGTTCTTCATATAGCCCAGCTTTTCAGATTATTTGCTCAGCATACAGGTTGAATAAATATGGTGAAAGGATATAACCCTGACACACACCTTTCCTGATTTTAAACCACACAGTATCCCCTTGTTCTGTTCGAACAACTGCCTCTTGGTCTGTGTGTAGGTTCCACGTGAGCACAATCAAGTGTTCTGGAATTCCCATTCTTCGCAATGTTATCCATAATTTGTTATGATCCAAACAGTCGAATGCCTTTGCATAGTCAATAAAACACAGGTAGACAGCTTTCTGGTTTTCTCTGCTTTCAGCTATCAGCAAAGATATCTCTCGTTCCACATCTTCTTCTGAGTCCGGCTTGATTCAGCCTTAGGTATCATTATTTAAAAAAAAAAAAAAAACGAGTTGCCTTGGAGTCTATTCCAACTCACGGCAACCCCATGTGTTTCAGAGTAGAACTGTGCTCCTTAGGGTTTTCAAAGGCTGTGATCTTTCAGAAGTAGATTGCCAGGCCTTTCTTCTGAGGTGCCTCTGGGTGGACTCAAACCTCCAGCATTTTGGTTAGCAGCTGAGCACATTAACTGTTTGAGCCACCCAGCGACTCCAGCCATCATGATAAAAAACAAAACAAAACCTGTTACCTTCAAGTCAATTCCGACTCATGGCGACCCATGTATTACAGAGTAGAACTGCTCCATAGGGTTTCTTGGCTGTAATCTCTATGGAAGCAGATTGCCAGGCCTTTCTTCTGTGGTACCACTAGATGGGTTCGAACCTCCAACCTTTAGGTGGGTAGCAAAGCCTTTGTTTCCATATTAGGGGAATTTCCAAAGGAAGAGGGAACAGCAGGTGTCAGGGTCGAGGGCATCAGGGAAGACAGTAACTGTGTACAGGGAGTGTCTGCTGAGGCAGAGACGGGGAAGGTACTGGTCCTGGCAGTAGAATGATAGGCCTGGGTTCAAATCCCAGTCCTTCCACATACTTCCTTTGTAGACACAAACAAGTTGCTTGAAGCTTCAGCTTCCTCCTCTGTCCAGTGAAAATCAAACATCTGACCTCCCCCCGTTGGTAGGAGAATTTTAAGGGAGCATCTAAGACAGTGCTTTCAACTCTGACCAGGGAACAAGCGTGACATCAAATTATTGTCGTCATTATTCGATTGCTGTTATGATGGGGACAATTAAGTTATCAGGCTCCTCTGAGGCAGCCCCTGCCCCCTCCAGATCTCTCTGCTGGCCCCACCCCCGGCCACTCCACCTCGGCCGTGCTAGGTGAATGCTCTGGTATGCAGAGGCGGGACAGCCCTGGGAGGGAGCAGGAAGGAGGGGCCAGCGACTAGGACAAGAGAGGAGAGCAGAGCCTCTCATCTGACAGAGCTTGACGGGGCAGGTGAGCAGGGGGCCAGCTGGAGGGCTGGGTGCTGGAGAGGAAGAAAAAGGCAAGGGCTGGGACTCCTTGGTCTGAGGGAGGAGGGGGCTGGGGCCCGGACTCCCGGGTCTGAGGGAGGAGGGGGCTGGGGGGCTGAACTCTTGAGTCCTGAAGAGGTAAGGCTAGAAGATTGGACCCCAATAGCTCAAGGAAGGATATAGGGTCATCAGGGGCTGAGATATTAGATGGTTTTTTGTGGAGACTCGGGGTCATGATCCTTTGGATTCTTTAGGGAGGAGAGCTTGGGGCCTGGATTCCTTGAGAAGTTAAAGGGTGACAGGCTAAATCCCTAGGTCGTTGTGTTGAGTGCCGAGTGGATTTCGATTCATAGTGATCCCATGTGACAGAGTAGAACTCCTCCATAGGGTTTTCTAGGCTGTAAATCTTTATGGAGGCAGATTGCCACATTTTTCTCCCACGGAGTGGCTGGTGGGTTTAAACCACCAACCTTTCAGTTAGCAGCCAAGCGTTTAACCGTTGTGCCAGCAGGGCGCCTTGATCCCTGGGTAGAGGGAGAAAAATGGGATACACAAAAATTAAAAAACAAACAAACCCATTGCCGTTGAGTCAATTCCACTGATAACAACCCTATAGGACAGAGCAGAACTGCCGCAAAGGGTTTTTAAGACTGTAATCTTTACAGGAGCGGACTGCCACATCTTTCTGCAGCGGAGCATTTGGTGGTTTCGAACCGCTAACCTTTCTGTTAGCAGCTGAGCGCTTTAGCCACTGTGCCACCAGGGCTGCTCACAAAGATTAGGGAACTGAATTCTTGGATCCCTCAGGGTGGGAGTCCAGACTCCTGGGTCTGAGGGAGGAGGGGTTGGGGACCCAGATTCCTGGGTCTGATGGATGCGGTTGGAGGCCAGGACTCCTGGGTCTGAGTAATTAGGACCTGAGCTATGAGAACCATAGGTCCCTGTAGGCCATGTCAGCCCTCACCTCCTTGCAGGTCCCCAGGGTACCTCCAGGTAGGCAGGAGCTCTCCATTCTCAGCACCATGAGTACCACCACTGGGTAAGTGCCCCACCTACCCTCCAGGCCGCAGCCTCACTACACCCCTACCCCTTCACCCACACCTGTGGGTTGCATTTACCCAAGACACTAAGGCAGAGCCTGAGCTGCCGCCCTCCCTGCCCAGCTGTGGTTCTGAGCTCCTGCTTCAGAGGAGACAGACCTGTATCACGTCTGGGCTTAACCCTCAAGAGAGCTATGATCTTGGCCACAGGACGTCACCTCTTTGAGCCTTAGTCCCTCCTCTGTGAAATGGGGATGATTGTGAGCACTCAATGGGATAATGGTGTGCCGGTCTTCACACAGAATTCAACCACCAGCAGGCACTCAATTCACAGCAACTGTGATTGCTGCTGGTGGTGTTATCTTGTTCTTAAATATTGACCCTCTCCTAGAAAATCAGGGCTGTTGATAATGAAGGCTTAAATCTCCAGAATGAACAGGAAGTAGACACAGAGAGATGTGTGGAAATAGTTGCATTGGAGGTAGTGAGTTCTCCAGCTCAGAGGTAACCAAATTGTGGGAAGACCTGACCAGCAGGATAAAGAGTGGAGGTCTGGCGCTGAAAGGCTTTCTCAATCCGCCTCACCCTCATGCCCACCTGAGCTCTAAGCTTCTGTTATTTCAGTCAGAAACGGGGACCCCAGGATTCTTCTTGGAGAAGGTGACCTTGAGGGGGAGGCTGAAGGAAGAAGAAGACAGAGAACAATTTGGCTGGGAGAGCATAGCCCATGCTGGTGGAAGGAGAAGAAGATAATTCTCCATCTATGACAATCATGAACGCTATCGTGACAATTTCTATTTATTGAGCAACTAGCGCCTATTAAGCTCTTTGCATGATAATAATGATAGTAATAACAGTTACTGAGGTGGCAAAACACCTGGCTTGCATCAGCTCGGTGAATGCTCCCAACAGCCCTACCAGATGGATGCTATAGGGTCAACCTATTTTATACAGGGAAGTTGAGGCAGGAGAGATGAAGTCCCCTGCCCAGGGTCTCACAGCAAGACAGTAGCATACGGGATTCGAACCCAGGTCTGTCTCATAGTAGACACCAGGGACACTGCCTTCTCTGTCTTCCTAAAGTCCAGCTCTGGCCCTGCTCTCCCTCCTCTGCTGAAAACCCTCCATGGCTCCCCACTGCCCTCACAATAAAGTCCTCACTGCTCTACTGAACATTTGAAACCCTGAATGATCTGCCCCTAATTCTCACAGCCCCTCTCACCTTTCTTTTCTTTCACTAGCCCAGAAACTGCCCCGAAACCAAGCGCCAAGTTTATCTACGGTGAGTTTTGGGGCAAAGAAACCCCAGGCCTATAGAAACTAGGTCTGAAGGAACTGAGGTCCTAAACTCTTGGGTCTGAGAGAGGAGGGGCTGGGACTCCTGGGTCTGAGGGAAGAAGGGACTAAGATCTGGACCTCTGGGTCTGAGGGAAAAGGGGCTGGAGGTCTGGCCTCCTGGGTCGGAGGGAGGAGGGTATAAGACCTGGACTTCTAACTCTGAGGGAGGAGGGGCTGAGGGATGGGACTCCTGGGTCTGAAGGATGCGGGGGTTGGGGGTCACAACTCCTGGGTCTGAGGGAGGAGGGGCTGGGGTCCCGGACTCCTGAGTTCATCTTCCCCCTCCCCTGCAGAGCAGAGGAAGCTTTACTCCACTGTGGTTATGGCCGACATATCCCAGTATTCAGTCAATGTGAGTCTGGGGTCTGTGTTGCCACAGGGAGTCTTGTGGGGGAGAAAGCTAGGGCTGGGGAGATGGGGCTAGTGAAAGCAGTTGGGCCACCAAGCAGAAAGAACTTGGGAAACTCAGTTTGCTCATCTACAAAATGGGCTTCCACTGCCTTGCCTCAGAAGTTGATACTAAGTTGAGGATCTCAATTCCACTCCAATCTGCCAACTTTCCTCTGAACCAACCGCTGTGCTGGGTAGTCAGGCCACAGGGAAAATTCAAATGCATTTCCGGTGAGTAGGAGGGTAGACATCCAACAAGGGGGCCAGGTAGTACCTTATGGAGGCAGCAGAGGGCACTGTGGCAGGCCAGAAGAAGTGCTTAGAGATGCTGTGTTGTTAGGTGCCATCGAGTTGATTTCTACCCATAGCGATCCCATGTGAGAGTAGAACTGCTCCATAGGATTTTCTAGGCTGTAAATCTTTACAGAAGCAGATTGCCAGATCTTTCTCTCTTGGAGCTGATTGGTAGGTTCAAATCACCAACCTTTTGGTTAGCAGCCAAGCGCTTAATCTTTGAGCCACCAGGGCTCCTTGCTTAGAGGGGACTAGATATAAATCAGGAGTCTCTGAGTAGTGTAAATGGATAATGCACTCAGCTGCTAACTGAAAGGTTGGAAGTTCAAGTGTGCCCAGAGGCACCTCAGAAGAAAGGCCTGGCTATCTACATCAAAAAAATCAGCCATCGAAAGCCCTATGGAGCACAGTTCTACTGTGACACACATCAGGTTGCCATGAGTCGGAATCGACTCCAGGGCAACTGATTAGATATATATCAGACCCCTTCCCTGCCCCCCAGGAGCCTCTAGTCTTGGTGGGAAGACAGACCAGGATGAAAGAGAAACAGAGGGTCCTGGGAGGAGGGTGACTTGTGAGGCAGGTGATCAGCGAAGGCTTTTTGGAGGAGGTGTCCCAGGCTGGAAGGCTGGTACCAGGAGAGTCTGAGGTGCCCACTTGGCATCCCAGGCCTCACTCTTTCTCTGTGGCCTGTGCCAGCACCTGGTGACATTCTGCCTGGGTGAGGACGATGGTGTGCACACCGTGGAGGATGCCTCGCAGAAGCTGGCCGTCATGGACAGCCAGGGCCGCGTCTGGACACAGGAGATGCTGCTGCAAGTGTCCCCCGACCATGTCACGCTGCTTGACCCCATCTCCAAGGTGCTCAGGGGGCCTGTGGGTAGAGGGGGTGGCAGGGCTGAGCCAGCTGAAGCTTAGGGACTTGAGTGTGAGTTTTCACCCTGCTCATCCTTCCTCTGTGAATGCTGGTGACCCCTTCCCACCTTTCTGAGCCTTACCAGTCTCATCTGTAAAATGGGTATGATTATTTTAAAAACTGGAGGTGGTTATCCCTAACCTCATAGGGTTGTCCTGCCCAGTGCCGGTACCTACTGTACACTGTTGTTGCCATTTAGTATTGTTATTGGCTCCGGGCCTCAGTTTACCCCACCGTCTTGCCTCCCAGGAGGAGCTGGAGTCCTACCCGCTGGGCGCCATCGTGCGCAGTGATGCGGTGATGCTACCCGGCCGGAGCCGCTCGCTGCTGCTGCTCGTGTGCCAGGAGCCTGAGCGCTCGCAGCCCGACGTGCACTTCTTCCAGGGCCTGCGCCTCGGGGTGAGCTCTGGATTCTGGGGGCCGAGGTGGACGGCTGGGGCCACCACAGAGCAGGCTCTGGGGTGGGGCTAAAACTGGGCGGAGTCTGGAGAACCCGGGCCAGGCGGGCCTTACAGGGTGGGGCGTGGCCTGGAGAGAAAGGCGGGGTCAAGGGCTAAGGGAGGGGGTGTGGCCTGGGAAAGATTCTGGAGGGGAGTGGGGTTTGCAGATCTGTTGGACACGGGGTCCAGATAGGATGTGAGACGGGAATGTAGATGAAGGGATTGAATCATGTGAAGATATGGACAGAATATGGGAGGGAGGATCTTGGGAGAGCAGCCAGAAAGAGTATGGGGGTGAGTGTAGTCCAAGGGCTAGGAATCACCTGAACAGGGCCTCCATGAGTGGAGGTGTGGCCTAGGACAGGGACAGATTGAAGGCGTGAGTTCAAGGCGTGGCGAGGATCCACAAGTGTGAGGGATGACAGGTCGCGGTCTGGGCTTAGCCTAGGAATCAGCCAGGGGCGTTGGCCCATGGTGGACAGCGGGCGGGGCATGGGGGAGAGGCGGGGCCTGACGGCATGATTGGCAGGCGGAGCTGATCCGAGAGGACATCCAGGGGGCGCTGCACAACTACCGCTCCGGCCGTGGGGAGCGCAGGGCTGCGGCGCTCAGGTGAGGGGCTGGAGTGAGTGGGAGGGAGCAGAAAGCGAGGGTGAGGGGGAAGAGTGGAGGGTGGATGGGGGAGAGGAAAGGCCGGCTTCCTCTCCCTGGGCCTCAGTCTCGCATCTGAGAAATGGGCTGATACGACCAGCCTGGTGCAGAACAACGAGTTTTGAATGGAGTCCAGCAAACCCTGGTTCATATCATGCCTGTACCTCCCGGATAAGTTTACCCCCTCTCTGGTACTCTACTTTTCCCTGTTCTGGTCCTTGGTTTCTCCTCCCTCTACCCTCAGTTTCCCTTTAGAGAGGTACCCACCTTCCCATATCTCGGATTTCTCCTTACCACTGAGCCTTTGTTTAACCCCTTTGGGCTACAGTGTCCCTCATTCTGAGCCCCGAATTTCACCTGCCCTGGTAGTGCACTGGTTAAAAGCTTGGCTGCTAACCAAAAGGTCGGCAGTTTGAATCCACCAGGCGCTCCTTGGAGACCCTATGGGGCAGTTCTACTCTGTCCTATAGGGTCGCTATGAGTCAGAACCGACCTGACGGCGACGGTATTTTTTTTTTGGTTTGGACCCCTCGGGCGACCCAGCCTCAGTTTCCCCTTCTCCCTCCGCAGGGCCACGCAGGAGGAGCTGCAGCGCCACCACACCCCCGCCGCTGAAACTCCGCCCCTGCAGCACCGCCCTTCAGTCCGTGCGATGATCAGTACAGTGAAGCCGGGCGCAAGACCCCAGGTGGAGTCCATCCCCGAGGCAGAAGAGGTGCGGGCGCCCGGCCTGGTGGTGACCTCGAGCAGCGCTGACCCCGCCTCCCCAGACTTGGGCCCCCAAGGGCTTGACATAGCCAGTCTGCAGGCGGAGCAGGAAGTGGTGAGCAGAGCCGGGCCTGGGCCTGGGGCGGGGCCAGATGTCTAGCCGTCTAGAGGCGGGGCTAAGATGTGGGGCGGGGCCATACATCTAGAGGAAAGGCTAGGGCATGCGAGTGGGATAAGACGTCTAGAGGCGGGGCTAGGGCGTGGGGCAGGACCAGACTTCTAGAGATGGGGCTAGGGGGGAACCAGATGTGGCGTGTCAGTCTGACATCAAATCAGATGTTCTGGGGGCCAAGCTGGGAGAATGACTGGGACTCTAGGCGAGGCTGAGGACTGGCGGAGAGGTTTGGTTGCAGGGGCGTAGTCAGACTTCCGGAGGCGTGATGCGATTGATTGAAGTCTGCGATGGGCCCAGACATCTGGGGGTGTGGTCTGGTCTGGGGCCGTGTCTAAGAGTTCTTGGATGAGGGCTTCAATGGGAGTGAGAGTCGGAGTCTCTGGAACCCCTTCTCTGTCCCCCAGGATATCCTGAACCATGTGTTCGATGATGTAGAGAGGTTCGTATGGCGGCTACAGAAGTCGGCAGAGGCGACCCGCGTCCTGCAGCAACAAGAGCGTGGCCGTAGGACCCGGCGTCGGGCGTCTGGGGGTGAGGGGCGCCCTGAGTGGGATCCTGAACACTCCTTTTCCTGCCACCCCCAATGTCCTCCCTCTCTCTGGGGTCTCCCCTCATACCACCTTCCGGGTTGGACTCCCCATCGCTGTTTCACGGTGACTCTCTGCCTTGTCTTCCTCATCACCTTGTCCCCCACCTACCCACAGAGGGCCTGCTGACACTTCGGGCCAAGCCGCCCTCAGAGGCTGAGTACACTGACGTGCTTCAGAAAATCAAGTACGCCTTCAGTCTGCTGGTGAGGACACGTCCAGCCAGGGACATCGGAGGCGGGGAGATGGCAAGGAGGAGGCCCAAGTGCAAAGCGAACCTGACCCATACACCCCCTTCCTCTACTCCACAGGCCCGGCTGCGCGGCCACATCTCTGACCCCTCCTCCCCAGAGCTACTGCACTTCCTGTTCGGACCCCTGCAGATGGTGAGACCCACCTCCATAGCCCTCAGTTTCCCCCTGCAGCAGGAGGGATGAGGGGTTAGACTTTTAAGATCTGATCGAGTGCCCACTCCTGCTGTCGTTGCAGATTGTGGACACGTCAGGTGGCCCCGAGTTTGCGAGCGGGGTGCGGCGGCCGCACTTGACGTCTGAGGCCGTGGCGCTGCTGCGGGACACCATTACCCCACTTGAAAGCGCTCTGTGGACCTCACTAGGAGACTCTTGGACCCAGCCGGGGTGAGGGGCGGAGCTGAGAGGCAGAGGGCTTGGTGATTGGAGGGGCAGAAGGGGCTGGGAGGCAGGGGACATCTGATTGGCCAGAAGGGAAGGGGTTAGAGGTGGGGCTTAACTAGAAGGGTGTGGCCAATTAAATTTAGGAAGGGCAGGAACTAGGACAAATGCCAGGATCTGATTGGAGGAAAAGTCAGAAATTAGGGTAAAAGGTTTAAGGCTGAGTTTGACTATCAGACTGGGGTAAAAGGCGGGGCTTAGAAGATGGGGCGGGGCTACAGGTCAAGGGAGGGACTTAGGAAAAGTTTGGCCCATAGATTGGGAGAAGGGGCGGAGCCTGAGCACTTGGCAGCTGACAGGGCCCGAGCTTAGGGTAAACGGGCAGGATTTGTGTAGCTAGAAGCCTGGTTTGGAATCAGGTGAGTTTTAGAGGCTGGGAAGGGATTTGGCGGAAAGGGGCGGGGTTTGAACAGTTGGAGAAAAAGTTAGTGTGGTTAATGGCAAGACTAAGTCATAGGCTGGCCCGCTCCTGGTCACAGGGTGGAGTTGCCCCCGGAGGAGGGACCTTCATACACTCCCGAGTTCGACACCGTCTGGGAACCCCCAGCAGCCGACCCACAGGGCCGCGCCTGGGAGGACCCAGTGGAGAAACAGCTACAGCATGAGCGGAGGCGCCGGCAGGTGAGGCTGAGAGGCCGGAGGGGAGCAGAGAGCTCCCCCAGGCGACACAATGGGGCCGGGCATGGGAAGTCCAGGGCGCAGGCCAGCCTTCCCTGACCTGCTGCTCTCTTCCCTCCTCCAGCAAAGCGCCCCTCAGGTTGCTGTCAATGGGTGAGTGTGGGCCCAGGCCAGGAGAAGCAGTTGGGGTCCCGGAGGGGTGCCTCCCTGCCCTGACCCTGCCCCTTTTTTTCCTGTTTCTTTCTTTATTCTGCCTTGCCGGCTCTTCCCAGGTGGGTGAGGTGGTGATGAGGCGGGGCCGGGGCTGGGAGGGGGGGAGGAACAGGGAGGGAGAGGGCGGGGCCCAGACTTCTAGGTCCAAGGGAGGAGGGAGGGGGCTGGAGGCCCAGATTCCGGGCCTCGAGGGAGGAAAGGGATGGGAGGGGGGCCCTGAGTGGGTGAAGTCTGAGAGGTTGGACCCCTGGGTCCTCAAAGGTCTGGAAGAAGGCAGTTTGGTGTTCCTGGGGCTGAGAAGCACCATGCCTGGGTCCCTAAGAGTGCAGAGCCCTGAGTTATTTGAGGGGAAATTAAAGAAAACATTGCCGTCCAGTCGATTCCAACTCAGCGACCCTATAGGACAGAATAGAACTGCTTCATAGGTTTTCCAAGGAGTGCCTGGTGAATTCGAACTGCTGACTTTTTGGTTAGCAGCCGAACTCTTAACCACTACACCACCAGGGTTTCTATTTGAGGGAAGGGTCCGGGGAATTGGATATTTGGATTTTGAAGACCTCAAGTTTGGTGTCTGGGAACCCTGAAGACAGAAGCAGGCTTGGGACTTCAGGGGCTGGGAGCAAGTTTCTAGTGTTAGGATGTGGTAGCATTTCTGGGTCCCTGAGAGAGGTGAAGGCTGGGACGGTTTTCTTTAAATTTCCGTAAGGCTGTAAGCAATTGTCAAAGTTCTGGTGGGTGTCAGACTGGGAGCTTTTAAAATTAAAAGGTGAGGGCAATTAAAGCTTGAGACCTGGACTCCTGGGTCCTGGGTCTCTGGGGGAAAAAGGGGCTGGAGGCCAGGAATCTAGGGTCCTTGGGTAAGTAGGGGGAATATTGGAGGGAAGCAACGTGGGCTAAGAAGAAAAACAAAGCCACAAAGCTGGAAGAAAAGAAGGGGGGTCTGGACGAGGGCCTGGGCAGACAATCTCCGCAGCACTTCAGCTACCAGCCCCACACAGGGGGTGCCGCAGCCCTGAAGACCCCCCGCTTCCCCCTGCACAGGTAGGCCTGATCCGTGCTGAGCCCCTTTTACTAGGGGGTCCAAGAAATTCTGCCTCCGACCCCCAGCTGCCTTGTCTTATGGAAACTCCCTCTGCCGCTCTTTGTCTGAATCTTGCACTTGACACCCCTAGCTTTTAACTCACCTTCTCTGAGCCTCTAGTTCTTTGCAAGGGAAGTGGAAACAATTATAATCTCTACCTGGAAGGAAGAGAAATCTATGGATTGTGAGGCTCATAGTTTAGGGCTCAGGGCCATAACAGAGCTCAAGTTCAAACCCAGCTATATGCACAGGATAGCTGAGTGGTTTAGGGCATGAACTCTGGGGCCAGCCTGCCTGGGTTCCAGTCCAGCCATGTCTCTTTCTTGCTTTGTGACCTTGGGCAAATCATTTTACCTCACTCTGCCCCAGCTTTGTCTCCTGTAAAAGGAGATGATAATTGTACCCTCCTCACAGGGTTGTTGTAAAGATTAAATCAGCTAATCTATGTAACAGACTTTGAATATTGCCTAGCGTGCAGTAGGTGCTATGTGTTAGCTATTGTTTTTATTATGATTATTAATTATCATTATGCATGAGCCTAGTACATAATAGATGCACCATAAGTAACAGCTGTATGATCTGGGGCAAGTGATTTTACCTCTCTGAGCCTTGGTATTCTCATCTGTAAAACAGGGGTGATGATAGTGTGCATATCATGTGCTTATAACACTGTGCCAGGTACATTATTGTTGTTGTTAACTGCTATAAAGTCAGCCCTAATTCATGGTGACCCCATGTACAGCAGAATGAAACTTTGCCCAGTCCTGCACCATCTTCACAATTGTTGGTGTGCTCGAGTCCATTGTTGTGACCACTGTGTATTTTGAGGGTCTTCCAACCTAAGGGACTCATCTTCTAGCAATGTATTGGTCAATATTCTGTTGTGATCCATAGGGCTTTCGTCGGCTAATTTTCCTAAGTACATCTCCAGCCCTTTCTTCCTCGTCTTTTTTAGTCTGGAAGCTCTGCCAAAACCTGTCCACCAAGGGTTACCCTGCTGGTATTTAAAGTACTAGTGGCATAGCTTCCAGCATCATAGCAACATAAAAGCCACCACAGTACAACAAACTGAGATGGGTGGTGGATCAGGCAAGTAGAAAGCAAAATAAATTCAAGCCACTATTCCAATTTCAAATCTTTATTAACAGTAGGAGTCCTTGGGTGCTGCCAACAGGTAATGCACTCGGCTGATAACCATAAGGTTGGAAGTTTGAATCTACCCAGAGGTGCTTCGGAAGAAAGGCCTGGAGATCTACTTCCAAAAAATCAGCCATTGAAAATCTATGGCGCACAGTTCTACTTGGACACACATGGGGTTGCAATGAGTTGGAATCGACTCCATGGCAACTGGTTTTTTAACAGTATTAACATGGACCCCTGCTGTGATCCCTACTTGGCTCTAACCCCAGCTCACACTAGCACCCTACAGCCCAGAGCAGTGGGCTGGCTGCTTCCTTATCCCCAGCGCTCTCCTCCTCAGTCTGCAGAACCCGGAGTTGGAAGCTGAGCCCCAGCCAGAGCCGGCGCCGCCGGCGGGGAAGTGGGTCCTGTGTAATTACGACTTCCAGGCACGCAACAGCAGCGAGCTCTCGGTCAAGCAGCAGGATGTGCTGAAGGTTAGAAGGGTGGCCGGCTGAGGGGCTGTAGTGGCTCCAGCCCTAGCCAGAAACCCAGGCTCCGAACCCTCCCCTCATGCCCCTCCCAGGTCTTGGATAACAGACGCAAGTGGTGGAAGGTTCGGGACCAGCGGAGGCAGGAGGGATACGTGCCCTATAATATCCTGACACCCTATCCAGGACCCCAGGGGAGTCAAAGCCCTGCAGGCAGCCCGGTGAGCTAGGACTGACTCCTGGGTCTTGGGGGAGGAAGGGCTAGGGGCCAGATCCTGGGTTCTGGGGGCCAGGTCTTAAGGGTACTGGCAAGGAGGTGCCTGAGGGCTCAGACACTTCTCTCCAGAAGCAAGAGAGTCGTGGGACTCATCCTCCTTCTAACCCAGGTGCTCTCCTCTCGTTCCCCTCTCTAGAATAGCACGACCCCCGCGCCTCCAGCCCCGGCCCTGGCTCCGGCACTGGTTCGACCCCACTGGGACAGCTGCGATAGCCTCAATATCTTGGACCCCAGCGAGAAGGGTGAGTGGTGGTGGCACCCCAGGGAAACCGAGGTTCGGAAAGCAGTGAAGGCCCCTGATCCCTCGCGCTGAGCCCCCTACCTCCCGGTTTCCCGCCTGCAGAGAAGTTCTCCCAGATGCTCAGTGTCAACGAGGAGCTGCAGGCGCGCCTGGCCCAGGGCCGTTCGGGCCCCAGCCGCACCGCCCTGGGGCCCCGCACCGCCCCGGGGCCCCGCACCGGGGAGCCGCAGCTCAGCCCACGCTCGGACGCTTCAGAGGTCCGAGCCTGGCTGCAGGCCAAGGGCTTTAGCTCCGGGTGAGTAGTACCAGTGCCCGCTAGCTGACTGTGAGGGGCGGGAGTTGGGAGCCCAGCGTTCTGATTTGCCCGGGGTGGGGCGAGGCAAGACACGGGGACCCGGGATTGACCCAAAGCGAGCGTCCGTCCTATTGCAACAGGTCGCGATTGGCCTGCTTTCTGAGATTCCGATTGGACTTCCCAGAGAAGTCCCGCCCCTGCATTGGAAGCAGGGTGCTCTGTGATTGGTGGGTGGGGCTTTCTGACATCCTGACGCTATCCAGACTTCAGCAGCGCCCCGCCCGCCCCCGTAGCTAGAGTGCTGCTGATTAGACAAATGGCTTGGCGGGCGTGATGTGATTGGTGGAGCTGGAGAGACTGGAGCTGTGATTGGCTGGCAGTCCTAACCGCGCCCCCGCTGCCCCCTCAGCACGGTGAACGCGCTGGGCATGCTGACAAGTTCGCAGCTTTTCTCGCTGCAGAAGGAGGAGTTCCGGGTTGTGAGCCCCGAGGAGGGGGCACGTGTGTACAGTCAGGTCACGTTGCAGCGCGCGCTGCTGGAGGTGAGCGGGGGCGCGCATGCGTCCCGGGGCTCTGGCGGGGAGGGAGCTGGGGACCCGCATACCAGAGTCCTGATGCTCACCCGCTCCTTCCAGGACTCGGAAAAAGTGTCAGAGCTGGAAGCGGTGATGGAGAAGCAAAAGAAGGTGGAAGGCAAGACGGAAACAGAAGTCATCTGACCCTACCCGGCCACTCTGCAAAAAATTTCGGGGCAGCGGATTTCCCCGCGCCCTGTGGAAGGATGGACTCTTTCGATTACCCCCACAATTGAAATGGCCTCCCCCTATTCCAGTGGACAAATGGACCAGTCCTTGCCGGAGTCCCTCCTGAGCTCGCGGATTGGACGGGAGCAGGAAGGGGCACGGCGTGGAGACAATTTCGGAGAGCGCTTGCAGCGCATCCCCGGTAGAGGGCGCACTCGGAAACCCTGTATGATGGACTATGGAGTCCAGTCTATAAAACAGCCTCTTCTTAGCAAGCTGTGTCAACTGGTTTCTCCTCCCTACCAGGCTACCAGGGGGCCCAGGAACCTTCCTCTCACCCGTCACATCCTCAGTCTGGGAGATGGCTTCACCACCTTCGGTTTCTGTCTGCTCCCTCCTCTCCACTCTCGGGGCCCCAACCCAGGATTCTTTCTATCTCCCAGCTTCCAGTCTGCCCCAGAGGGGCCTTTCAACACTCAACGTCCCAGCCCCTCCCCTGCTCAAAATCTCTCCCTGACTCCGTTTCCTCGCATTCAAGGCCGAGTGGTGTGGCCCCCTAACCGCCTCTCCAACCTCATCTTTCCCTTCTCCTCCTGATCTGGACAGTGGGCATGGAGGGGGCAGCAAAAAATAGAAGATATCCCTCCCTACTGCACATGATGTGGCCCTCGGGGGCGGGGGGAGAAACCCAGGTGGGGCTCTTGGCACATTCTCAGATCCCTGTTTAGGAAGCGGAGGGGGCGGATGAGGGGGCATCACATGAGAGGTGGAGGATCCCCGGAGCAACTACTCTAGTCCCTACCTTCTGGTTCTTGTGTTCCCTGGTCCTCGACTCCTTCATGGTCCTGCCCTTCAACATTCCCGGCCCCTTCGACCCATCTCTGTGGGCTGCAACAGCCTTTCTCCACCTGGTGAGCTCCTATTACAGTCTTCCTGACCCAGCTGAAATACCTACTTCTAGGGAGCCTACCGTCAACCCCCAAGCTGGTCTCCCAGCCTCCACTTTGCCCTCAGCTCCTGCCAGGGGTCCAGCCCATCCCACAGGCTTCCTGGCTACTCTTCATCCTGTGAGTGGCAGCCTAACAGGAAGCCTCCCACTCCCTCAAAAACAACTAGCTCCTTGCCCCTCTCACAAGCCCTGCAACTTTTCCCCACCATCTTTGTGGCTGGCAAGGGCTGGCTCTCTCTGGCTCCCACCCTTGTTCAGAGGAGTGGAAATTCCTCCAGCTTTAGGAAGAACGCCCTTCTCTTCCTCCTTCCATATGATTGTGTCAGCCCTAGCTTGGGACCTCGGCTCAAACTCCTGGCTCTTCCTGAAGCACCCTTGCCGCACCGATGAGCACCTACCCAATGCCCCATCCAGATGGCCCAGTGGCTCAGTCTGACACCAAAGCACAGAACCAGGAAGCCCCCACCTCTGGCTGGGGAAGAAGTCACTGAGCGGCAACTTCACGTCTTTATTTGTGGTGCCTGTGTTTTGTCTCTTGAAAATACCTTCTCCCCCTGCCCTGGACCGTGGACCAGGAGGGGGCAGCAAAAAATAGAAGACAACCCTCCCTATTGCACATGGATGTGGCCCTCAGGGGAAAAACAAAAATCCAGGCCCCTATATACAGGCCCACCTGGCTGCGGCCAAGCAGGGCTCTTGGCACATTCTTGGGTCCCTATTCAGGAAGAGGAGGGGGTGGCTGAGGGGACATCACACGTGAGGTGGGGGACCCCAGGGCAGCTACTCTGGTCCCTGGCTTCTGTTCTTTGTGTTCCCTGGTCCTTGGTTCCTTCCTGGTCCTGCCTCCAGCCCCAGTCCCCTCTCAGTGAAGTCTCTCCAGCTGGCTTGGCCTCCTACCTCCCTCCAGGCCTCAGGTGGCCCCCCTTGGCTCCTGAGGACTCTGCTCTCCCCACCCAGTTTGAAGATCCCCGGGGGAGTTATGGCTTCTCAGAGACGTCCATCAGAGCCCTGTCACTCGTGTTCACACGGGGGAAGAGGTGCATGTGGCAGAAGCAGCTGTATAAATACGGGTAGGGGGAGGGGCCTCCTCCAGAGTCACTTGGAGAGTTTGCTGATGACGCGGATCAGGGCTGCGTTCTCGTCCTTGAGCCGCTGGTTGTCAGCCCGGAGGTCTGAGAGGGCCTGAGAGACAGCATGCAGTCATCAGCCACTGGTTGTCAGCCCAGAGGTCCGACAGGACCTGAGGGACAGCACAGGGACCCACGGCCCGTCGTCTGCCCAGCTTCCCTACTAGGATTCACCTTCAGCTCCTCCTCCAGTTCTGCAGCCTTCCGCTCCAGGGCCCTGCGCTCCTGGAACAAATCAGTAAGGGGAGGGTGAGGACAAGGGGTTGAAGGAGAGGCTTCAGGGATAGGCTGCGGGCCAGGGATGATCAGAGATCCAGCAAGGTGGAAAAGGATGGGAAAGGTCCGAGAGCCAGGTCAGAAGGTCAGGGTGGCCCTCTTGATCATGACTCAGGTGGGTTTGAGGTCTGAGGATACGTCTGGTCTCCTCCCACCAGCCCTACTCACGAATCTCTCCAGCTCTAGAAGGGCAGGCCTCTCAGCGAAGCGCTCTTGCCTCTGGGGAGGACAGAGAAGTACAGGGGTCAGAGACACCGCCCAAACCCCAACGGCCAGAAAAGAAAGTCAGCCTTGCTGGAGAGGGCAGGCCAGCCTCCTTGCCCAGCCACTCACTCAGGCCCAGAAGCCCCACTCACCACAGGCCCATCACTCAAGACCACAAGTCCCACCCGTCTTCAGGCCCCACCCCTCACTCAAGACCACAAATACCCTGCTCAATCATGCCCATTGCTCTAGGTCGTAAACCCCACCCCTTCCATTAGGCCCCACCCCATTTGAGACCACAAGCACCACCCCTCAGGTCCCACCCTTCATGGCTCAGGCCCCACCTCCCCTGGGTCCTGAGCCCAGCTTGGCAGCTCCTGGCCAGTTTCTGCGACCTGCAGGGCTTGGCCTTTACCTGCGTGGTGCGCTCCAGCTCCACCTTGAGCTGCGCCAACTGCAGTGTGGTCTCCGTCAGGGCCTCACGCAGCCGCTCGTTTTCCACTCGCAGCTCTGCGTACAGCTGGGGGCACGGGGAGGTGGCAGGTGGGTCAGGAGGGCCTGCAGCCCGAGGTGCGGCTTGGGACGGCCTAACCATAGCTGAGGTGAAGCAGGGAAATGGGGGAGGTGGGGGCAGGGAAACAGTGGGACACAGAGACCTGGACAGGGAACAGGGAGGCAGGAACCTAGCAGGGAACAGGCAGTCACTGCATAGGAGGCAGTAAACCTGGCGAGTCAATTCTGACTCCTAGCAGCCCTGAAGGACAGAGCACAACTGCCCCATTGGGTTCCCAAGGCTGTAATCTTTACGGAAGCAGACTGCCACATCTTTCTCCTGTTGGTGGGTTCCAACTGTTGACTTTTCGGTTAGCAGCCGAACGCCTAACCAGTGCGCCTCATAGGGTGCAGTAAGACCAGATAGAAGGAGCCCTAGTGGCACAATGGTTAAGTGCTCAGCTGCTAACCAAAAGGTTCAAACCTACCCAGCAGCTCCAGAGGAGAAAGATCTGGAGCCCCATAAAGATCACAGCCAAGAAAACCCTATCAGGCAGTTCTCTGTTACATGGGGTCGTTATTGAGTCACAATCGACTTAACGGCACCCAACAACAAGGACCAGGTAAACAGGCCCACTTGGTTGGTGGGTGTTATTGGCACCTATCAGCGTGGGATCTCTCACCTTCCGAAAACCTCCATCCTGCTCCTTGGACTCTGGCTTGGGGTTTGGGCGGAGGTCCTGCTGGGGGCGCTGCCTGCCGGATGTGGGGCCGCTGTCGGATGTGCTGGGGTGGAGGAGGAGCAGGACATCAGAGGGTGCTGCCCGCTGCCTGACAGACAACCCCAACCATCCTCCCTGCTCAGGCCTGGTACCTGGATTCCAAGCTTCGCTCCGCCAGCTCCGCTTCCTCCCCCTGCGGGCCAGTGGAGGTGGGGTATGCCGGATGCCTGAGGGGGTTTGGCCCCTCAATGCCCCAGCCCCAGTGCCCACCCTCAGCAGCAGCTTGGCTCCCGGGGCCCCGTGCCCTCACCTCCGCAGGCCCTCTGCGCTCCTTGCTGACTTCGTGGTGCTCCCTGGCAGCCTGTGGTCCCTGCCCCTGCCCGTCAGGCGCCTCTGCTGGGGGAGGGGCAGGAATCAGCCCAGACCCCTCATCTGGGGCCCCCCAGCCTACAATATCAGAGTCCCTGGGCCCAGACCTCCAGGAATACTGCAGCCAGAAGGACTAGCGTGGGAGCCATGGAGGATTTCCCCAGATATCAGACCTCACCTCTCTGTGCAGGGCCCTCAGAATTCTCGACACCAGGGACTCGGGGCCTCCGGGGAGGGTCCTGTGGGAGGGGGGTTAGGATTAGGAAGCCACATGCCACCCCACTGCCTCATTCACCTGACCCCTCTCACCAAGATCTGCAGAGACGGCTTCTCTGGCTCCGGGGACTTCCCTGCGGCCTTCTCTGCCTCCTTCAGGTCCATCAGAGTCACACCCTGGTAGGGAGAAGGGTCCCCTCAGACCCTCAGTCGCCTCCCTAAGGACCCATGTGGCCAGTCACCCAGTGTTTCTCCCTCAGGCTCAGAAATCTGAACCCCCAACCTCCTTCTCCCTCAGACCCAAGAGTCTGGGCCCCCAGCCTCTCCTCCCTCAGCCCAGGAGTCCCAACCCCCAGCTCCTCTTCCCTCAGACCCAGTAGTCCTGACCCCCAGCCCCTCCTCCCTCAAAGAGTTGGGCCCCCAGCTTCCTCCGCCCTCAGACCCAGGAATCAGGGCCCCCACTCCACCCCCACCTGTGTAGACCTCCGAGACTGGCGCATGAGGCGAGACCGAGCTTTCCGCTGAGATTCAGACTCCTCATCGCGCACTGGCATCTGGTAGGACCTGCATAGAGGGCCTGGCCTCAGAGAGGGTTCCTTTGGGCCCTGTCCCAATTCACAGTTAACACCCCTTAGGGGAAAGTAAAATCCGCCAGAGGACTTCAACTCCCAGCTCCACCCTGAGCCCGGGGGGCTCCTGGGTAATGTACTTTTCTCCCAGCTAGAAGCCCTCCTGCCCCAAGCCTCTTGCCTCCTGCGGTCCCGGGAGTCTGCTGGGGGTGCTGTGGAGGCTACAGGGGCATTTGGCTTCACTGGGGGTTCAGGCTCCAGAATCCTGGGGGGAGGAGGAGTGGAGTCATCCAAGGGAGCAGGAGGCCTGGCTATGTCAGACCTGGATGAATTCATTCATTCAACAAATACTGATCAACCCCCACATTGTGTGCTGGGCCCTGGCGATACAGTAGTGAAGAAAAGACATACGTTATCTCTGTTCTGACACAGTTAAATTTGAGTAGAAAAGATGCAAAATAAAAAACTACAATAGAAATTAGTAAATTACATGTTAGGAGGAAAAAGCACTTCGGAGAAAAGGAACAGAAAGGATAGGAGGTAGGGAGGCAAGGCGCATGTCTGGATGCTGTTGCAGTGTGAGCAGGATGGCCACGTGGTCCTCACGGAGAAGGCAACGTTTAAGCTTTAAGGGAGGAGGAAGTGAGCCACGTGGGTATGTGGGGGGAGAGCTGGAGCAAAGGTCCTGGGGCAGGAGTGCTCCTGGCCTGTCAGAGCAAGACTGAGGAGACAGGTGTGGGAGACGAGGCAGAGAGGCAAAGTGGGCCAGGTCTCTTAAGGCTCAGAGGCCACAGTAACGACTTGAGCTTTTACTGAGAGGTACTGAAAGGGAAACTGAGGGTAAGCATTGTGGGGAGCAAGGACCAGACCCTGGAGAGGAGATGGACTTGCTGAGGGTCACACTGACGAGACTGGAACCCAGACCTGCCTCCCACCCCTGGAAGGGCCGGGAGTTTTGCACTCACAGGGCAGGGGGCTCCACCATCTTCCGGGAGGGGGTAGGGGTGATTCTGGCAAGACGTGGCTCCTTGGCCTATAAAGAGGAGGAGGGGGAAGAGAAAAAGGGAAGGGGAGGGTAGCCCCCTTGGCTAGGCAGGGGCCTAGTCCCCCTGCCCACCTCACCCTGTGCACCTGAGCAGAGGTCCCTTCCACCTGAGAGGAGGAGGCTGAGCGCTGCAGCCTAGCCCCAGGGGCTCCCTCGGCCCCCCACCTTTCTGGGGGGCCCAGGGCACTGGAGCTCCCCATCTTCTGGAGGCCAAAGTGCTTGGGGAAGGGGGTGTCTTCAGGTGGCTAGGAGAGGACAAAGGTCTCAGTGATGAAGAAGGAATTCCCTTCCTGCACCCCCACCCCCAAGGACCACAACAAACTATCATTCCCATCAGCACTTGGGGCAGCCAGAAAGGGGCAGTTGGTTGTCCTGGAGGATTCTGGGAACCAGAGTCCTCACCTTATGGCACCCCTCCCTCTCCCAACCCTAACGCCTTCTCAGGACTCCCAGACTCACTGTGGGGCTCTTAGGGATAGAGGGTAGTGGGGAGGAGACTCCGTTGAGAGTTCTGCTTTCTGCAGGGGGGGACTCTGTGGTGTAGGAAGATGAGGAGATGTCACAAGAACATGCCCACTGCCTCTGAGAACCAGAGAACCTAGCCCTCTCTCTCTCAGACCCAGGAGTCTGGCCCCCAGCATCCCCCCATCAGACCCAGGAGTCCAGCCCCTAGCCCCCCTGCTCTCAGACCCAGGAGTCCGACCCCAGCCCCCCTCCTCCCTCAGACCCAGGAGTCTGGCCCCCAGTCCCCCCCATCAGACCCAGGAGTCCAGCCCCTAGCTCCCCTGCTCTCAGACCCAGGAGTCCTACACCCAGCCCCTCTTCTCTCAGACCCAGGAGTCCAGCACCCAGCCCACCCCTTCTCAGACCAAGGAGTCTCAGACCCAGGAGTCCCAGCCCCTCTTCCCTTAGACCCTGGAGTCCGGCCCCCAGCCTCTCCTCTCTCAGACCAGAAGTCCAGGTCTCAGCCCCTCACCCGTTGGGCCTTCTCCTCCCTCATCCTCATCCCGGATAGGGGGCCCTCCCACGCCCCCTGGCCGGCGCTCCTTGGACAGGTCCTGAAGAGAGATCTTCTCTCGGCTGCTGAGACGACACACGGAGCTCCTGGTGAGGGAGGGGAGGGGTGGCCTTAGCCTGGGGGTGCCTCCTGCAGTCCCCACCCCTCTGGGCACTCCCCCTCCTACCTGCGGTGTTTGCTGCCAGAGAAGCCCTGTGGCTCGGGGCCCTTACTCTGGGAGGCTTCCTTCTGGTTCCGCAGCTGCAAAGAGAGGAGGGGCTGTTGGGGACAGGCAGACTGCCCGAGCTCACACAGCTAACCCACAGCAGAGCCAGAGCTTGTGCTGTGGGCTTCTTCACTCTATGAGTTTTTCCAGCAAAAGGGCCTGGCCCAGTGCTGGTTGGGACAACCGAGGGATGACTAGGCTTCATCAGATGCAGAATCCTCCCCCTAGCATCTTCCATTGTCCCCAGCACCCCACTTTCTCACGGCCCTCTAGTGGGTCTCCATAAGCAGTTGGTAAGAGGCTGTCCCTGGGGCAGTGATCGTGAGCTGGGGGAGGGGATGCCCTCGCTCCCTGGCTCCCAAAATGCTGACAGGAGCGGGGAGTCTGGGGCCAGCCCTCGGCCTGGGACTCACATCCTCCTGCTTCCGGGCCAATTCCTCCAGCAGACTCAGCACCTCCTCGTCAGCAAGGTCACAGGGACGCTGCCCCTGGGCAGGGGGAGAGAAGCGGCAGGTAATGAATGGGCTGTGGGAGCCCTCCTCACCTCCACCAGCCCTCCTGCCACCCTAGGCCTGGCCCTCACCGCGTGGGTTAGTGAGTCCATGCCCCCACCGTGCTCAGCCAGTAAGCGGCAGGCATCCTCCACGCCCCAGTGGGCCGCGGCGTGCAGGGGTGTCCAGCCATCTCCGTCCCGGAGCTCTGTGTCATAGCCAGCCTGAAGAAGCAGCCTGGGGGCCAGGGAGGCTGAGGGTCAAGAACCATGGGGGACAGAGGCAGGGGGTCTGGGCCAGGATGAAGTGGTGAGCAGGGATGAGCTCAGTGCTGGGTGGCGGGACCAGCTGTTAAACCATCAAAAACACTTCTGAATTTGTTGGTAAGCAGCCCCCACCCCAAGCCCCCCAAATGACCCCTCTCCCAACATTGGACCCAGGAGCTAAAAGTGGAAGCCTGGCCCAGCAGGGGTCAACTACAGGGATCAACTCTTTTACTTGACGAGATCTGAGAAGGTGAGAATGAAAACAACTACTCAAATGCAAAGTGGGGAAAGGGCCAAACATGGACAAAATGAGACCCAGAGACCAAGGTGTGGATGACAGAAATGGAATACGTATCATAGCAATTTAACATATACATGCACCAAACAACCTAGCCTCAAATATATAAAGTAGAAATTGACAGAACTACAAGGAGAAACAGGCAAATCTACAATCATAGTGGGAAATTTTAACACATTCACAATAACTGGAGGATTTAATTTAATGTCAAAGATTTAAATAGCATGGTTACAAACCTGACCTAGTAACTTACATACAACACTGTATCTGACAGTATTCTTTCCAGCTTTCATATACTGGAGTATAAAAAAAACCTCAACAAATTTCAAGACTGGAATCACATAGAACAAGTTCTCTGACTACAATGCAATTAAGCCAGAAAATTAGTAATAACATGATGTCTAGAAAATCCCAGATGTTTGGAAATTAAGGGTATACTTCTAAACAACCCATGGGTCAAAATGAAAAGATTACAACTTAGAGAATGTTTTAAACTGAATGATAATGGAAAGACTACATATCAAAACTTGTGGATGCAGCTAAGGCTGTATTTAGAGGGAAATATATAGCCTTGGGTGCATATATTCGAAAACAAAGGAAATGGACAAGATCCACAGGAAGGTATAAGACAGCAAGAAAGAAGAGGCTGGCCCAGAGCAAGGAGGGGGGGCTAAGAAAAGATCTAAGCCAGCCCAGCTCACCTCATCACTTCGATGTAGCCCTTAGCAGCAGCCACATGTAGGGCAGAAGCTCCGGTGCGGGGGTGCCGGGCCTCTGGCATGGCACCACCGTTCAGCCAGCACCTTGTGTCATGAAGTAGCAGTTCCTCCTCAGCCCGCTTGGCTGCCTCCACGTCCACACCTGGGAGGATGAGAAGGGTTAATAGTATAGGTACAGGAAGTCCAGGGCTGAACCCTGGTCCAGCCATGGCTTTACTATGTGTCTTGACCATCCTTTTCCCTCTGTGTTCTCCTCTGGGACTGAGGACTGGATTAGACCAATGGTTTCCAAACTGTTCTGTCGAGTCATGGGCTCCACTAAGGTGTCTGAGTCACTGCTGGGGGCTGAGAGAATGGAGATCATAGGCCTTTTCATGGTCAACCAGAGCATCTCCATCACCACCACATCATCATGATTTATAAATAAAAGCTAATGTTTATTGAGAAAAATCCAGCATTCGATTACATCCAACTCTTATCACTGCTGTTATGGATTGAATTGTGTCCCCCCAAAATATATGCTGTAAATTCCTAACCCCTACACTGGTGGTTATAATCTTATTTTGGAATGGGTTTTCTCTGTTAACAAGGTGGTATTAGTATAGGGTGTGTTTTTAATTAATCTCGTTTGAGATATAAAAGAGCAGACTGAGCAAGCAAGCAGAGATGGGGGAAGATAGATCCCAAGCCACATGAAGATCACTGAGGAACAGAAGCTCAAGAGAGACAAGGACCTTCCTCCAGAGCCAAGAGAGAAAGAAAGCCTTCCCCTATAGCCAGCACCCAAATTCAGACTTCCAGTCTCCTAAACTATGAGAAAATAAATGTCCATTTGTTAAAGCCACCCACTTGTGGTATTTATGTTATAACAGCACTAGATAACTAAGACAACTACCAGTACAATCCCTCACCCAGCATCTTTATACATTGTCTCACCATTATCACTTTTACCACTTATTAGTAGGATAAAAGGGGAGCCCTGGTGGCACAGTGGTTAAGAACTTGGCTGCTGTGATGGTTAAGACTCTGTCAACTTGGTTGGGCCACAATTCTCAGTGTTTATATGTGACCACTTCCATGATGAGATCTACTGTAAGCAGCCAATCAGCTGAAAGGGCGTTTCCTTGGAGGTGTGGCCTGCATCCGAATATAAGCAGACGTTCTGGCTTTTTGCTTGCTTTGGATCCTGCAGCTGCCTTCTGTTGGTATGACCTCTGGTTCTTGGGACGTGAGCTATCAGCTAATCTGCCGATCTTGGGATTCATCGATTTTCACAGCCTGTGAGCAGAGCCCTGCTCTCTAACCTGCTGATCTTGGATTTGCCAGCCCCTGCAGCTATGTGAATCAGGAGAAACCTTGCAGTCTTGCCTGCCAATCTTGGGATTCAATATTCACAGCCTGTGAGCAAGAGCCCTGCCCAACTTGGGTTTGCCAGCCCCTGCAGTTATGTGAATCGGGAGAAGCCTCTATCCTAATCCACGGACTTGGGACATCCCAGCCTCTACAACTGTGTGAGCCATTTCTTTGATATAAATTTCTCTATATACATATTTATACGCTTTACTGGTTTTGTTTCTTTAGAAAACCCAGCCTAAGATAGCTGCTGACCAAAAGGCTGGCAGTTCGAATCCACCAGCCACTCCTTGGAAACCCTATCGGGCAGCTCTACTCTGTCCTATAGGGTCAATATGAGTTGGAATCGACTCCATGGCAACAGGTTTGGTTTTTGGGTTTTAGCAGGACTAACCAAGCAAAAAGCCACTAAACAAAGAATCTGTCTTATTAGGGCAACAGCTTTTTCCTACCTAGGTGCTAATTAATACCTGTTCACAATTGTGCTATATCATGAATTTGCTTTCATTAACATGGTTTTTAATTTTATTGTGCTCTAGGTGAAAGTTTACAGTACAAATTAGTTTCTCATTCAAAAATTTATACACAAATTGTTTTCTGACATTGGCTGCAATCCCCATAATATGATAGCACTCTCCCCCTTTCCAGTCCAGCTTCCCCGTGTCCATTTGTCCTGTGCCTTCCTGCGTTCTGGTCTTGCTTTTAGGCAGGAGTTGCCCATCTGGTCTCATATTGAACTAAGAAGCACATTCCTCACGTATGTTACTGTCTTACAGGGCTGTCTATATCTGAAAAGTCGGCTTCCAAAGTGGCTTCAGTTCTGAGATAGCAGGATGCCCACGCGCCACAGTCTAAGCGGTACCTCCGGTCTCCGTCAAACCAATGTCTGGTCTTTTTTTGTGAATTTGAATTTTGTTCTACATTTTTCTCCTGCTGTCAGGGACTCTCTGTTGTGATCCCTTTCAGAGCAGGTGGTGGTAGCCAGGCACCATCTAGTTCTTCTGGGCTCAGGCTGCTAGAGGCTGTGGTTCATGTGCTTCTTTAGTCCTTTGGGTTAGTATTTTCCTTGTGTCTTTGGTTTTCTTCATTCTCCTTCGCTCCAGACAGGATGGGACAAATAGATGCATCTTAGATGGCTGCTTGCAAGCTTTTAGGGTCCCAGACACTACTCACCAAAGTAGGATGTAGAACGTTTGTGAATTGTTATGCCAGTTGACCCAGGAGTCTCCCAAGACCACGGTCCCCAGCCCTCAGCCCCCACAACTAAGCCCCTCAAGGTGTTTGGATGTGTCTTGGAAGCTTCTATGACTTTGCCTTGCTCAAATTGCACTGACTTTTGTATGCTGTCCTTCCCTTCACCAAACTTGACACTTTCTACTAGCTAGTTAGTGATTTCCCCTCCTCATCCCTGCCCTCCCTCGTAACCGACCAAGATTGTTTTTTTCTGTGTGTAAACCTTTCCATGAGTTTTCATAATCGTGCTCTCATACAGTATTTGTCCTTTTGTGATTGACTTATTTCATTCAGCATAATGTCCTCCAGATTCATCCATGTTGTGAGATGTTTCAGATTCATCATAGTTCTTTATCATTCAATAGTATTCCATTGTGTGTATGTACCATAATTTGTTTATCCATTCATCTGTTGGTGAGCATTTAGGTTGTTTCCATATTTTTGCTGGTAAGAATAATGCTGCAGTGAACATAGGTGTGCGTATGCCTACTTGTGTGATGGCTCATATTTTTCTAGGATATATTCCTAGGAGTGGGACTGCTGGATCAGACGGTTATTTCTATCTCTAGCTTTTAAGGAGGCACTATATCATTTTCCATAGTGGTTACACCATTTTACGTTCCCACCAGCACTGCATAAGTGTTTTCGTCTCGCCATAACCTCTCCAAAATTTATTATTTTGTGTTTTTTGGATTACTGTCATCCTTGTTGGGGTGAGATGGTATCTCACTGTAGTTTTGATTTGCATTTCTCTAATGGCTAGTGTGGAATGCTGGTAGCACAATGGTTAAGAGCTTGGCTGCTAACCAAAAGGTCAGCAGTCCAAATCCACCAGCTGCTCCTTGGAAATCCTATGGGGTAGTCCTACTCTGTCCTACAGGGTCACTATGAGTTGGAATTAACTGGACGGCAACTGGTTTGGTTTTGGTGGGTTTAATGGTATAGTGATCGTGATCATTTCCTTATGTGTCTGTTAGCTACCTAGATGTCTTCTTTGGTGCATAAACATGGTTTTGTTATATATTTATGTGCATATGTATAATACACATATTGTTGTTGTGTGTTTGAGTTGATTCCGACTCATAGCGACCAAAGACAGAAAAGAACTGCTCCATAGGGTTTCCAAGGCTGTAATCTTTACGGAAGCAGATCAGCAGGTATTTTCTCCTGCAGACCCACTGGTGGGTTTGAACTGCTGACCTTTCAGTTACAAGCCGAGCACTTAAATACTATGCCACCAGGGCTCCTTATAATACACGTGCATGTATGTATGTGTACAAATACATATATCTGTAAATATGCATACATAATATACATACCAGTTGGTTGAGTCAACTGACTCATGGTGACCCTGTGTGTGTCAGAGTAGAACTGCGCTCGATAGTTTTCAATGGCTGCTTTTTCACAAGTAGATTGCCAGGCCTTTCTTCCCAGTCACCTCTAACTGGATTCAAATCTCCAACCTTTTGGTTAGCAGCCAAGAGAATTAACTGTCTGTGCTACCCAGAGACTCCACAAACTATATATAACGAATATTGTAAACTTCTGCTATAAGGCCATAAATGGGATCCAAAAAACACAATCATGTAAAATGTGACACTGAGTTCTTATGAGTCAGAGCGGGGTTCCTGGGTCCAACAGCACTATCAAATCCATCCAGGTTTGAGCTGCAGTTTGGTGCCACCTGGTGGTGGGTGGGCACTCTGGCTTAACCTCCAGTGGGTCACCTTTGGGTTTACTGACTACCTGGGATTTCCTAGACAGTGCTATGCACTTGCATGTTTCAGAGGCTGAGGGGGCAGTGGTTTTTACAGCAGTGTCCCATCCCCAGCAATGGCAGCTGAGGGCCCCCCTCCCAGTGTGGTGGTCTGTCCTTTTTCTGCAACCATCCCCACTATCTAGTTCCAAAACATTTCTATCACCCCAAAGAGAAACTCCGTAGCCATTAAGGACTTACTCCCCCTCTCCTGCAGACCCAGTGGTGAAAGGATTAAGGGCAAGGCTGTGAACCAGAAGTCAGTGGTTTGAGCCCACTCAGTGCCTCTGTGGGAGAAAGACCTGGTGATTTGCTCCCGTAACGAATACAGCCTAGGAGACCCTCCGGGCCAGTTCTACTCTGTCATATGCGTTTGCTATGACTTGGAATCAACTCGACGGCAACTAACAACAACCTTGTCCTCCCATCCCCAGGTAACCTCTAAACTACTTGGGTCTCTATACATTTGCCTGTTCTAGATATTGCGTATAAATAGGAATCATACAATATTTTGTCCTTCTAAGTCTGGCTTATTTGACTCAACATAATGTTTTCAGCATTCATCCAAGTCATAGCACATATTAGAACTTCATAACTTTTTATGGCTGAATAATATTCCACTGCACGTACGTGGAGGAGCCCTTGTGGCATAGTGGTTAAGCACCTGGCTGCTAACTGGAAGGTCTGCAGTTCAAAGCCACCAGTTGCTCTATGGAAGAGAGACCTGGCAATGTGCTCCTGTAAACATTACAGCCTAGAAAACCCTATGGGGCAGTTCTACTCTGTACCATAGAGTCTCT